TTTCCATGCGAGCCCGCAGGGCAGTCTTGTAGCTGGGACTGGAATGCTGCCCACTTATGGTAGCCAGTTAATGAGGCCGGCACTCCCAACGCCGAGCAAATACTTGCAGAGAATGCCAAGTATCCTGTGATGCACAGCCCACAATTTTCCTAGTCTGATTTCTTATGCAATACACTTGGTTTCTTGTCTGTTAGCAAATGGATGTTCTCAGGTGGGTATATAGAGAATGTCTACAAGAATAATACCCCTGTTACCACTATTTCTTGGTTCCATGGCCACCTGTACTTGAGGAATTCAGACTGTTGGAGTTCTACAAACTAAAATTTCCCACGCTAAACTTCCAGTACTGCTAAAAGAAGAGGGGGCTGGTAAAAGTCTTTTTCACAAGGTCAGAAATATGGAGGTAATAAGCAAAGTGAGTTACTTTCCCCAAACCACAGGACTCATCAGATGGCAAACTAATTAAACCCTAATCCAGCAAAGCCCTTAGTGCGTATGACATTTATAGCATGTGAATAATGACAATGAAATCAAATACTTAACCTGACCCACATTCTTGAAAAAATTACTAAACAGCATATGCCACACTACTTGATGCAAGCACACACCACCTAATGTGGATACCAGTAACCATCTGACCATGGGAAAAACAGCTCAGGGTCAGACAATCTGCCCTGCTTCACTGCCTCATGTCCTAGATTCATAGTTTCTCCCCTTTTTTGTTTTTTGTTCTTAATATAAAAATCTCCTTTGTACTACCACGTGCAGCTCAGGTGTCGTTTTAACTTTTAAAACCTGGTGTCTATCTAGTCTAAACTAAGGAGGCTATCCTTCTGTCAGCAAAGAGCAAGGAAAAGGCCTTTCCAGATCCTTCACATCAGATGAGCAGTCCTAATTCTTCTAACAAGCGGGAGATGTGTGGTTCCTGCACCAACACCTCACTCCTGTGAGTCCATCAGACAGGATATGCAAGCAATGCTCCAGTAAAGCAGTTACCTGCACCCTTTTTCCTCGTGTTTCCACTGTGAAAGCTGAAACCACAGTGGTTCCCAAGGCCTTAATAAAGTTCCTCCAACTCGTGATACGAATGAGCCCAGATGACTATTGCACTGAAGTGTTTACATTCACTAAAAGTTGTTTATAATAATGCCCACTTCATGTACTAGACCTGCACTTACTCTTTACCAAGTAAACACTTATGTCAAACAAAATATGTACCTGATCGATTTATTCAGCAGTTGGGAAAAGCTATTTTAGGAAGACTCTCCATGGCCTTAGTAGGTGACTTGTTTCTAGCTGGCACTGGGTTTGTGTAATGGGGTCACCAGTGTCCGTGAACTCGGTAACAGGTCATGCCACACCGCAGGCTGCAGCTCCACTGCCTGCCCCAGACCACCCCATCCAGGAAGGCACAGGGGGCATCTGTGGACACACACAACGCCATTTTGATGCTGGTTTTAACCTCTGGACCTCCAAATCCTCACAGTGTTTTGTGCCTGCAGGCTCACCTTGTGCTCCCGCGCCAAGAGGCGTGAGGAGCTCGGCTGGGCCCGTCGCCCACAGCGCGGGGCTGCACAGCCCGGGGCGGACAGGCCAGGCCCAGCACTGCCCCGGCCCTTCTTCCTTCAGCTGAACCAGCGGCGAGGCTCCTCCAGGCCGAATGCAAGTCCTGACATACCTGCCGGAAGGCTGAGGCGGGCGGAGAGAAGCTGAGGCGGGCGGAGAGAGGCTGAGGCGGGCGGAGAGAGGCTGAGGCGGGCGGAGAGAGGCTGAGGCGGGCGGAGAGAGGCTGAGGCGGGCGGAGAGAGGCTGAGGCGGGCGGAGAGAGGCTGAGGCGGGCGGAGAGAGGCTGAGGCGGGCGGAGAGAGGCTGAGGCGGGCGGAGAGAGGCTGAGGCGGGCGGAGAGAGGCTGAGGCGGGCGGAGAGAGGCGCTAGGACGCTGAGGCGGGCGCTGAGGAGAAAAGGCGGGCTGCTGAGGCGGGCGCTGAGGCGGGCGCTGAGGCGGGCGCTGAGGCGGGCGCTGAGGCGGGCGCTGAGGCGGGCGCTGAGGCGGGCGCTGAGGCGGGCGCTGAGGCGGGCGCTGAGGCGGGCGCTGAGGCGGGCGCTGAGGCGGGCGCTGAGGCGGGCGCTGAGGCGGGCGCTGAGGCGGGCGCTGAGGCGGGCGCTGAGGCGGGCGCTGAGGCGGGCGCTGAGGCGGGCTGGGCGGAGCAGGAACCGCCCGCGGCCGCGGTGCCTCGCCGTCGCGCATGTTAATGCTCGGTAATTGCCCGGAGAGGCGAGGTGGGGCGGAGCCATTCGCCGGCTGCCCGCCCTCCCTCGCTCCCGCCCCGCTGCTCTCCCCCCGCGCCGCCGCCGCCTCTCCTCCCCGGCCTCCCTGATGCCGAGGAATGGATAGAGCGGCTGCCCTGCGAGCCGCCGGCATGCTGGAGAGGAGGGAGCGGAGCGGTGGCGAGCCGGCGGCCGGCGGCGGCGCGGGGCCCCGGGCGGGCGCGGCAGCGCGGGGCTTGCCGGCCGTGCGGAGCACGCTGCAGCAGTGCGGGCTGCTGCAGGACCTCATCGACATCTCGCTGTCCAACCTGCGCGGGCTCCGCACCAAGTGCGCCGCGTCCAACGACCTCACCCAGCAGGAGATCCGCACCCTGGAGGTACGGGGCTCGGCAGCCGCCGAGGGGAGACCCGCCACCGCCCCGGGGGAGCCCGTCCCACACCGGGGCCGCCCGCCCTCGCGGCTGTCAGGGCCGTGAGGCAGCCCCCGCCCCTCACCGGCTCCCCGCCGCTCGAACCGCGTCCCTCGGGGCTGGTGCTGAAGGGGAGGCGAGGGCGGCCGGGAGGAGGAGGCTGAGGACAGGTGCGGGGCAGCGCTGGCCATCCCTGCGGCCGCGTCCCGGGCGGGCACAGGGTGCCCGGACTGTCAGAGGGGTCGCCGTTGGTGCGTGTGGCCATGCTCCGCGGCCGTGGGGCCTGTGGCTGTGCTCGGGTGTCGCTATGAAGGTAGATGCGGTGAGGTGGGGACCAGAGGTGACCTGAGCTCCGGAGCAGAGGCGGGTCCCCACATCGCCTGTCCTGGGAGGCTGCTGCAAGTCACGCTTTGCCTCAGGTCTCTGGTGCTCGCTTCTGGTGGTTCCCACCCTGTACTCCAAGCCTGTCTTTCTATCCCTGGCTCAGTTTCACTGATCTAATCTGATCCTCGTTTTCACTCCATTGGTGCGGCTGACAAACGGCATCACGGCCGGGGCTGGAGAGATGTTTGCTGTTTAGAAAGATTGCATGAAACTCTTCAAACGTGAAACGTGCTGCTGTGATGCTTTCAAAGAGGTGCTGTCTGTACACGAGTCTGAACGAGTATTTGAAACAGAATGTAGATTTCTTTTTTGTGTAGTAACATTTCATTTTACCTGTGTGCAGGTAGTGTTGCTCTAAGCAGAGTAAATGACACCCCCCCCGGGATAGAAGCTTCATGTGAAGGCAAATGGTCCTTTTCTCTAGCCTGACACTGGAGGCTGTGGAGCTACAGCATCTGGCCTTTAGGGAGCAGGATCATTACAAGAGTGTAACTGTAACAAACACGTATACTGCAAAGTCCATCACATGAGAAATGAAGGTTGGGGAAAAAATCGTGAAACAATAGGTGGTAGATGGCTTCTGGCACAACCTCTTGGAAATGTATTGTTCTTCCTTTTTTCTTCCTCTGCCTTTCGTGTGCCTTTTTTGTTTGGTTGGTTTGTTTTGTGCCGTGTTTTGTGTTTTCAAATTTGTAGCGCTCTTTTTCCTCCTGCCACCTCCAAATCATGTTCAAAAGGCTATTCTTTATAAAACAATATTTGTGCAAGCTTTTGGCAACCCTACTGAGGGCCTTTTTAATGCTCAAACAATGTCAATCAGCAACATTTCGGGAAATGATCATCAGTATTTTGCTGGGGACCTCTTCTGAAAGGAAACCTTTATTCACACAGGGTAAAGGCCGCTGTCATCTTTGGATTCATCTGAAAGCAACAAAAGGTGTTTCTAGTGGCAGTTGTCAAGTGTGTGCATGCATTCCTCTTCAGCATTTATCTGTTTAAACAAATGGGTGCCATGATCATCACTGTATGATCCTCATACAATCTACTATCAGAAAAAATCTTACCTGAAAGAATTCTTTTTACGGCACAGTCTAGTATGTGATTTCTCTAGGAATTCAACCAAGTACTTGGTCTCCGCCATCACGTAAAGCTATGGGTATGGATATGGGCCTGCAGCCTTTGCTCTGTTAGTTGCCTGTACCAGAATATGTGTTGTTAAGTGCAGCCTGACTCTTCTGCTTAACTCTCTGTTCCAGTCTGCAGTGGGTCTGTCCGCAGGGGCAGGGTGAAGAACCAAGCTGGAGACAGGTCTGTTGTTTCCCCTGGTGTACCAGAGGGTGGTGGGCTGCAGTGTGGTCTCAGTACACAGTACGGATGGCTGTGGCACTACAGGGTGTAATTACTGTGCCCTAGTTAACGTGGTCAGGGGCATTTGCATGGGCAGATGGGTGCTCCAGTCTCACAGAGAGCCAGTGTTACTGATGGGTTGACTGCGGCACAGCTCTGTGCAGACTGTAGGTAACTCCTCATGAGTCAGTAGTTCACCCAGAAGTTGGAGGCCTGGAGATGTCCAAAGCCTGCTGTGGTTTTCCCAGAGTGGCCACGACGAGTTGCTGAGGAGTCCAGTGGATCCTGAAGAATGGCTGCTAGTGGCTGCTGGGCCTCATCTGTACTTTGGATTTGAATCTAGGCATCTTCTGTTCTTGAGCAGAAATTTTTAATGGGAAAAGAATGATGAAAATATAGCTGCATCAATATAACTGGTAAGCTGTGTAGCAAAGCTTCGAGGAAATGATAAAGCGTGAGAGAGATAAAAGCAGAAAACTGGAAGCAGGAAGTACTAGTTTGGGAAGGGAGGGGACTTTGGAAGTTGAAGAAGTAGCTCCTGAGGCCAAATGTGAGGCTGGATGTGTGTGATTTGAAGACAGCCGAGTGTACTAAGTCAAAAATAAGTTTATTGATTTCAATTTCTATTGGAAGGGACAGAAAGGCAGGGAAGCTTCCATAATACGATCCATATCTAGCTCATACACCTCTGAAACTTCTGTAATGCTTAGTTTTGGTGTCAAACCCGTGAACTTAACAGGTGAAGGGATGTTTTCTTGACCACAATCTTCTCTGTTAGTGAACCCATGACCAGGGGTGAATGCTTTCTGGTGGATGTGGCTGTCTCAGCTCTATACCAGCTCAGGTCAGGCAGCACTGTATGCTTATTGCTATTTCTAATCCCACAGTTAGCATAGCCCTGATGTAAAGTAGTTGTAATGTGAATGGGATTGATAGCCTAAACCACCAGTGCCATTCATCTAAGTGCTTGTGGTATTTTAGTTTTTACACCAGACATACTAGTTTGGTCCTTTTGGCACCGCTTCCCTCTGTGCCTGTTCACAGTTTAGAGAGCTGTCATGTACACCACATGATTCATAATGTGTGCATGTTTCAAAGTCAAGCACATCAACCTAACTAAAGGTATCTGAGTGCATGCTTATGTCCCTCCCAATTTACTCAAATGCTTTAAGTCCTTCCACATTCCTCTTGTGTATAAGCTCTTCTCAAAATAAAGCACATGGTAGATAAGGATTTCAAAACGGGACCTTGACAGGTAAAGATAAGCACTTGTGATAGCTCAAATGAGTGCAGGGAGGACTTTCTGTAATACAGGAAGAAAGGGCTGTGGGAATTGCTTGCAAATGATGCGTTGAGTGTACATGTGTTACATGAGCTGACTGTTTCACTTGTAGGAAGGCCATTTCTTAGAAGGGCAGGGAGTTTCGCTGTAGTGGAAAGTAGACTCTGTTAGTTTGGTTATTAGCAGACAGGTTCTCCGATGCCACAAGGTCCTGTGTATCTTAAAAAGTTTTATATGTTCTGCCAAGTAAGTGCTTGAGTGTTTTTGCCCAGCGCTTTGGTATAGGGTTTGCTTTCAGTTCTGTCCCAGCAGGTTTACTCACTTCTCAAGTTGACTACAGAACTGAAATGGAAAATAATGGTAATTTTAACCCATACATACAAGAGAAAAACGTCTTGCTACGCAGTGAGCATCCAATGTTGCTTCAAGCATCCTTGGAAAGAAACAACTTGGTCTTTACTCTGTCCCTATGCTAATGCCTTGCATGACTTACATTGGTAAGGGTGGGGTGGTGGCACACATTGCTAAGATCTGCCTGCTCTTTAAGAAAACCTATTCTCATTGCTCTTTGGCTGGATTATATCTGTGATAGAGACACTCTTGGCTCGTATGCAAAAATCCCTTTGACCTCTTCCTCAGGAATGTCTTCTGGTCAGCACCTCCAGAAAATATCACACCAGCTTAGAAAGCCGAACTCCAGCTGTGCTTTGTCACAAATAAGTAAGTTACTACTCCACAAATCAGTCTTTCGTATCGGCTGATTGATAACTGTGGGTTAAATATGTTTGAACTTGCTCTGGCATTATCTCGATTCATTTGGCAAGTTGGCTAGAAAAGGCTTATCTCTTACCAAGCAGTCCCTAAGCAGAAACAAATGCTCAGAAAATGGGGGAAGGCAAGCGAGGAGAGGAAGAGGAATTGTAATCATCCAAACTTGCAGACTGGAAGTTGGGCATGTGTTATGCCTAAGGAAAGGAAGACTGCGTGTTTGTAAATTGGAAGTAGTGGGAGTAGTGAATTTTTCAGGCCAAACTGCAACCTGTAGCCACATGTTTATAAGTCCTGTTCAGCGGAAAAGACTTCCTTTTCTAGCAGACCTTACGTAAGAGAAGAAGAGAGTCTCTTACTTCATCTTACTTTTTGCATATATGCAGGATATTCGGTTTTCTTAAAGGTGTCCTTTTTTTTTTTTTTAGGACTTTTTCTTTTTTCTTAGACTTGTGCTTGTTTGTATAAGATAGGGTTCAGCAGAGATTCTGTTTGAGGGAGAATCATCTATTGTCATCAAGTCTGTAGACATCACCTTTTCTTTGTGATAGTGTATCTCAGTATACGATCAGAATTTGCATGTCATAAAGGAATTTATCTCGTCTCCTACCATTGATTTTTGTATTAATGTTGACACAAAAAGTCAGCAGCAGTGTTGTAACTTACATGGGGTTTCTGGACAAGCTCTGATGAGTAGGTTGTCATCAAGATGAAGATATGACAAGAGACTCTTCACTTTTCTGTCAATGTACTTCTTGCCTTGGGTTGGATTCTAAGATGCACTGATTGAGAAGCAAGAAAGAAAGCATCAGAGTAAGCCTTTGTTCTGCCTTTGTCTTTCTAAGGCTGCTTGTGTGCTCACTGTATTATGTTAAAATAAAATTACTCCTGCTCATCTTCATGGAGAGTCAGCTCAGAGACCCTTTTCAGCAACCGAACTCCAATAAAGAGGTTAGGCAGAGCCTGGAGTTGAGACCTCTGTACGTACGTGCCTACACACACTGACAGGAACCCCAGTCTGTCATGCCAGGCAAACCTCAGGCTCCATGTACCATTTCTGGTGTTTATTGCGTGGTCAGAATTGATCTAATCAGTGAAGTTGTCTGACTTGAACCTCAGCTCTATCTTGCTGAACTCATGCTTGCACAGATACCACCTGAGCGGAGTCTGCTACTCAAGTTCAAATGCGAGCTCTTCACTGCACCTTACATCAGGAAAGCCCCGGTTAGTGTTACAGCTGCACACTAGTGACACATTTACAGCTCTGAGTCAGCATGGTGGCACACAGATGTATCACCTGCTTCTGTTCATAAATAGGAACACTTAACAAAAGGAACCATGTGGCACACCAAATTGTTTAGGGAGTAGTTATGCTTAAAATGATATTTCCAGCATAGAGCATGTAATCTTTCCGATGCTTGAGGGAAACCCCTCACCTTTCCTTTAAGGCTAAGACTTCTTATCCTTGTTTTCAGCCCATAGGGAATATTCTTCTCAAAGGAAAATGTAATGAAAGCAAACCTGGCTATCTCTCACCCTTTTGGGGGTTGAGAATGTATTGGCTAGATTACTGCTGTGGTGAAAGGCCCAGAATGAAATATAGATGACACCACCCAGAGATACTGACTCAGACATCTCTTAGAGACTTCCCTCCCTCCTCATTTCTCGCTCCCATGGAGTAATCCCACACAGTCGACGCTACCAGCAGCAGTGTTGCCACAGCTAGCAAACGGGGGGAACAGAGACTCTTTGGGAACACACCTCTTCCAAAAGAAGTGGGCAGTTCTTCCAAGACATAACTTGTGAGCAATTGTGCAGAGAAGCGTCCTGGGCACTCCTGCTTCTTGTTAGGAGTCTGAACCTAGTCAAGAACTAGCTCAACATGCTTAAGAAACAGCTTGGCAATCTGGCTTGCCTTTGACTGCAGCTATTTCTTACTGGCATAGCCCCCAGAATCTAGGACAAGATCAGTACCAAGTTAAACTAGAGAAACTCTATATTGCTGCTACAGTGGGAGGACAACTGAGAACCACCAACGTACAGAGGTGGTCAGATACTGTCTTGCCTCAAGCCAGAGCAGCACAGAACGGTGCCACCTACAGATCCTGGAGGCATGTCCCAGCCCAGCTGTACTCCTGCTGTACTCAGTCCAAGGAACATGAAGTAATTAGTTGGTGGTGCTGTAGTGCTCACTGGAACCTGTGCTAGTTGACAGTCACTGGTTCTGTGGCTGAGCTCACTGTCTGTGTTCTAAACCTGGTTTCGCACAAGCTGTTTGACTGTTTAACTGGAGCATTCCTGAAGTGAAAACTCAAACCTTAGCTTAGGCCCTAATCTCTCTGGGCATGTGAATATCACAGCCCAGTCTGACAGTAGAGTCTTTTGTTCATCTTTCTCCAAGTGCAGCACATGTATCTTAAGTCTGGGCTGTTGGGACTGTAGGAAGATGGAAGGTGCAAATCGCATTGGATTTATGCACCTCAGCTCCAGACTGTTCAACTAGCAACACAACCTGTATGGTGATGCTTTAAATTGCTGCTGAAATCAAGGTGGTTATGCAGGTGCACAGGAGATGAGGAGCTGGTTAGTGGCTTTGCTTCTAAAGCACATGATAGCAGGAAGACATTAGTGTGGAAAAGACTGAAACAGAGCTCAAAGCCAGAACATTTACTTGCTTTGGCTCTATTTGAGCCTTTTCAGATGTTACTCAGGATATTGTTCAAAATACCTAAAATTACTTGCTTCCTACGAAGTAAAGCCACAATGGCAGGTAAAAGCAGCAGCTTTACAATAGAACTCTCCCCATCTAAATACAGGCTGTGACTTTAGCTTGACTGGCAACACTTCTGGTCAAGCAAACATGATGTGGGGAAGGGGTGTCACAGGTGGTGCCTGCAGAATGTGGACTTAGGTGGCTGTGACTCAAATACACTTTCCATGCTTTAATGAATGAGAGGAAAAAAAGAGACAGCTTCCTGTTGTGGGGTTTTCTAGCAGTGATTTTCCTAAAAGGAGAAAACAAGGAGTTTCAGGGGTTTCTTTTGGCTATCCCTGGGGGGTCAGTAGTAAGGGCCGGGACTGAACCCCACTGCAGGCCCATGGTATCCTCTTTGTAAGAATAAGATCAGTGACTCCTTGTCATTGCCTTGAACTTTTTTCTGTGACTGTATCATCATCATCTTCTGAACCCTCCCCGCAGAGACAAAGCTGCCCTGGCCCATCACAGTGCTAAACAAGCCACTCTCCAGCATGTCCTACTTTTAAATTTCAGTAGGGAGAATCTATCTTGATGTTCTATGTTTTAAAGGACTAATTCCAAGTCTGCAGACTTGCCACTGGGGCATGTGTCTACAGGGAAACGCTAGCATGCCTCAAGGTAGGGCAGTGACTGTCCAGGAGGTAGCTAAAGAGTAGTTATTCATTTAATGTCAGTGTAAATGGAATTACAAATACCCTCTGTAGAACCTGCCTGGATATTTGCTGGTCTAACTCAGAGAGGAGTTGCAGTGAAGCTGCTTCATGCCCATTAGCCATTCCCCGTCTGCTTTCAGGGTCTGCAGGCAGAATTGGATCCACTGCCGCCAGCTGGCTTTTGGTACTTTTAAATTTGGCTTTAAAGTTAAAGCATAGCTGTCTTTTCTCTCGGAATGTATTCCAAAGTGAACAGGGGCCAGGTCTCTGTCGTTGCCTTTCTGCCTATAGATCTAATTTGTACTGTGTGCACCTTGGAGAAGCAGAGAGGAATCACAGGACACTTAATCAGTAGCATAAGGAATCATGCTTTGATCAGGGGCTATGGACTGCCTCTCATTATTAGTTATCCCAAATGGAAGACCTCTAATAGCAGAAGCTGCACGATCCACTTTAGAGCAGTCATTAACATGACACCGAGGACTCTTGCTGGGATGGAGCAGATCCAGGATCTGATCTGACACTGCCAAGACAGGTAATTGAGCACAGTGTTCAGAATGCAGCAGGAGCCTGTCCCTGAAAACCTTCAGAAGCCTTTTGCAAGTGAGTTTAACAGGCAGACAAGCATTTTCCTGCCCAGTTCTGCTCTCCCGATGTGCTTCTAAAACATGGTTTGTTGATTTCTCAAAGAACTTTCACTTCTGTTTGAAGCAATCTAAATTTAGAAAGGAAGTCTTAAGCTTCTCACTGCTGCTGTGTGTGGGCTATTGTTAAGGCTTGGAGATTCCAGTGTGAGGTTTTATTTTTAGTTATTAATGATGCTGAATAAAGTGGAAAGAAGTAATAATTATTCTGGTTTACAGAGTGTGAACTTCAGCTAAACATTACTGCTAAAAGATACTGGGTAGGGGAGGTACATGGACCTGCCAATACAGTACTGGAAGCTGTGTGTCAATGCCTCTCAGGCTGCTGTAACAGAACCTTTCTACCTGTTTGCCTGCCCAGGCTTAACGCATGGAGAATATTCTAGCAATTTTTCTAGTTTTCATCTTCCAGAGCAGTGTTTTCTTCTTTTTACCTTTCCAGTAAGCTAGCGGACCATGTTCTGCTTTAGGATACACTTGCATAGCTCCACTGAAATAAGCAGAAGTAGTAAGATTTTGTTGTTAAAGCTTCCTGACTTTTTTAGATGTCTCCCTCATATAAACTGTTCTTCATCTGCCAAGCAAAACATTTCAGTTTATGGGCCTTTTGTCTTGCTGACCAAACCTGAAACTTTCCACAGAGTAAAACGTTTCTTATGAAGGCTTCTGACTTTAACTCTCCCACAGTTTCTAGAGACCGTTCATGTGCCTCAGGCCAGCACCAGCTAGTAGTATCAAACTCTCCGACTGTAGAGCAATGACAGTACTTTCCCCCCTGCCTCATTTTAATCAATTCTGGAAGCTATGCCCTTTCCCCCCTTGTTTTAAGGAAACAACTGACTAAAATACACAGGTATTGTTATCAGGAGATTGATCTGGCTGGAGAGGTTTGCATAGGTTTCAGCCTGCTCCCTTTGGAAAAAGAAAGGTTTCTTCTCCCCCCTTCTTTCTCCTTTGAAGCACAGGGTGTCTGGAAGCTCTCTGGAAGAGGAAGGAGGTCATAGTGTTGAAGTAAACCAAGGTGAGCACAAGCACCAAAGTCTCTTAGCACTTGCTCACACAACTAAGCTGGGAAAAAAAACAAAGTAGTTATCAAAGGGCTTGTCAGCCTCATTTGTGTCAAACCAGGATATTATGTGTGTTAAAACTGGTTTGGTCTTGCTTTGTGGGTCAAGTGTAATATTTGAAGAACCACTGGCTGATGGCTACAGGCCCCATGTAAGCACTGTTGTATTGGTGGCATTTTCTACGGCTATTAACGAGGCAGAGTTTCTGTGGGACACCTCTGTGTGCACTCTAAATTCCTGGGCCATTTGCAGTCATGGCCAGTGACTTGATTGGAGTCTGGAAACTGAGGTTTGGCAGGAGGAAGGAGAGTTGCTCTAAGTCCAGGTTGTTGCACTGAAGCACTGGCTGAACTTGTGCTGAGACCATATCTGTAGGAAATACAATCCTACTTTAAGGGAAGATGTTTTCTATAATGATGCTGAAGGCACCACTGTAGCAGTAATTACCCATTTGCATCTAACTAAATGGGCCTTATCAGTTATCATCTGCCAACCTCTAACTGAAGGCGTAGCTAGCAGCAAGAAGCTAGCTGAGTATCTCTACTAGGGTGACACTAATATTTAGCTTTTTATTCTTATGGAAACTGAATCTACAACACTACTCTGCTGCCAAGGCATGCTCCAGTTCCACTGATGTGTTCTTTCCCTCATTTTTTCTAC